ATCAGGGATCCCCATGGTGAACTGCTCGTCCTGATAAAACCCTTGTCTAGCAGCTCCTACAGCTGCATAGACAACTCCTGCATCTCGAGAGGAGCCAATCGATATGGCGCCTTGGCTATCAGAGCCGCACCAGAGACCAGGCTAATCCGGTAATCAACCTGTCTCCCCGGAGGTATCCCAAGTAAAATTTCTAGAAATACATCTGGATATTCTCTCACTACCAGTACATCATCCAATGCCTTCTTACCCTTATCCCGGGTATCCATCAATTAGGCGACAAATCCTACGCAACCCTGCTAAAGGCAGCGCCTCGCTCTCACCACTGAACAGAGAATCAGTCCGCGTTCTGGCCTCTCGCCCTGAATCACTTTCTCTCCCCCACTAGGAGTGTGAACCCTCACTAGTTGTTGCTCACAATCAATCACTGCCCCGTTGGGGCTCAACCATTCCATACCCATTAGGACCTTATTCCCTCACAGGGGAATAGGAACCAAATCTACTGAGAACTGCTCATCAAATAACCACAGTGTACATCCCTTGTGAACCCTCGCAACTCTGACAGTCCTATCATCTTCTATCTCTACATCAAGTGGGGAATCCAGCTCCCCCAGAGCTCTACTAAATTGCTTGCTAAGTCCGAGTGGTACAAACGACAGGGAAGCTCCCAAGTTAAACAATACCATAGCTGATATACCATTCACTAAGAACGATCCTATAACAAAGCACATAAACATAGGAAATAATCAGAAATAAATATGAGATAATGGAGAAGATAGATACCCGTAACCACATCAGGAGCTGCACGTGCCTCCTCTACTGTCAACTGGAAGGCCCTCTCCCTGAACTTGGCGGTGATCTCCGCCACAGTCTCAGTAGTCTACTCAAGATCTTGGATCTCCCTTGCTAGCTGTTGCACCTCGATTATAGGTGCAAACTCGGCCCTGAACCTGGTCATGAAATCACTCCAGCTCATCGCATCCAACACTATATCATCACCAATAGCTCTCCCAACCTCCTCCCACCAGTCACCTGCCCTGTCCTTTAGAAGACAGGATGCAAGCCTAACCTTGTCCCCCTCAGGACACCTACTGGTGCGGAGCGCATTGGCGACATCCACCAACCATCTAGTACCCGCAATGGGTTCCCGAGCCCCATGGTAGTTAGGAGCTCCACATGCCTTGAACTCCCGAAAAGTGACTGTGTGCGACCCCATCATGGCCGCCATCTCGGTACGGAAAGCACTAAACCTCTCCTCCATAAGCTCCAGAATACCCTCCATGATCGTACAGAAGATCACAAAAGTCTTCTCAAGTATGGTGCATGTAATCTATGAGGAGATGTACTCCTTGGTCTGCTCATCCAACTGCTTGGCCCCAGAGCCTGAGCCTGTTCCCTCACTTGAACTGCCAACTGCTGGCCTGGGCCATGGTACCACCATTCTAAAATAAAACATCAGAATGAACATCATAATACTATCAAAACTTGAGGAATCATAAACATTACTAGCTCCCTGGCATTATCTCAGCCTCCCTTGATTCGAGTATGGATCCTATGCTTTTAGTAGTACGGGCCTATACTACCTTCCACATCTATCCGTACTTTCCTTAAGAACTACCTCAACTCCACCAAGTCCCTTCTACTACTACTACTACTGATCTCCCACTAAACTCTTCCTAGGCTTGCCCTAGGGTGATCACCAACACACTCTCCACTATTAGCTGCATAAGAAGTCCCTTCTATATCCCCCTAGCTAACTCGTGAATATTATTACATAATAGTAAGAATAGATAATTCTTCGAATGAGAGATCCTTCCTTACAACGGTTGGACTCATACAATAGATGCGCAATAGAGCTAGACCTAACCTTCTGAAATTATTTAATCCTCCCTATATGTAACATAACATATTTATTTACTAGTTAGTAAGAGATAGCTAAGACTCCTAAAAGCACAAAGTAAGCAGAATTCATGCATCAAGTAAACATAATCAAGCATATCTCTTTCAGGCTATTCATGACTAATTTGTACTAGCACGTAGTTCATAAAGCTGAGATACGGATAATTGACACATAAGGCATCCTTCCTAGATCTGTAATCCTAGACTAACATAAATTCTCATAAAACTGGTAATCATAACATAACATAAACTTGTATGGGTAATTTGGGAGTACTTACTTGAGCTCGGGTGATTGCATGCACCACACCCTTTTTCTCTTTTCAAAATTCTTTTCTATTTTTCCAAATCCTTTAATAAAAATGATTTTGTTTTGAAAAATTTTATACCCACTTCCTTAATTTGAGTTCAGACTCACCCAAGAGTGTGCCTGAATCCCTTAAACCAAGGCTCTGAAACCAACTTGTAACATCCAAAAATTACGGATCCAAAATTTCTCTCTTAAATCATTATTAAAATCATAAAACATCCAAAGTCATATGTAAAATCGTGATTCGTGTATCATAAAACATCATAGTATCGGTCAAAATCAAAATCTCATAACAAAACATCAGAGTGAACTCCCATGCTAAGACTGTGGTTTGTGCCATGAGATCATCCTGAGCCCCTCCTTTTGCTAGTGGAAGTACCTGAAACCAAAACTGAAAACCGTAAGCACGAAGCTTAGTTAGCTCCACCAAACTACCACATACCAAACACATATAACGTGCAACTAGGAGATACAAGCTCACCCATAATCAAGGAGATAAGGGCCCCACTCACTCTCCGCTAACTAGGAGATACGTGCCCCACCTACACTCCACTATCTATGAGATACGAGTCCCGCTCACACTTAGCTATACGGGCCCCTCCCACACCCGACTTTTATGAGATACGGGTTCCGCCCACACTCAGCTACTAGACAAACATACAAGTATCACATAGACAACAAGTATAACTAAATCTATCATTCAATCATATATCATGATCAAACTCAGCTATGAGACACGGGCCCTACCCACACTTGGCAACTAACATAACATGCTACAGGTCGGTCTTGGTGCCTTAAACCCATTCCTACTGAAATGAAACTCACCTCATATGACTGACTGATGACAACCCGAGTGAGGAATCCCTTTATGCTGCTCCGATAACTCTCCGACTATAAATTCCATAATGACACCTAGTCAGAAGCCGATAACTATTCTTAGGGTAAAATGACCATTTTACTCCTGGTCAAAGTCAACCTTCCAGGTTGACCAAACTCACCGAGTCAGGGTCGTGACACGTTGAGTCCTAGAACCTGGAATTACGATTTGGCTCGCCGAGTCAACCCCATGACTCGTTGAGTTCCCAAGCTACATGTCTTTACGATTTGACAAACTGACTTGTCGAGTCCTGGCATAATCAGAAGATGGACAAAATCCTCCTACTCGCCGAGTTCCTTTATCAACTCATTGAGTCCTGTGAACATCATCGGGGCTTCTTCATCGGACTCGCCAAGTTCCATTAAGAACTCACTGAGGCCCTTGTAGATCTAACCCTGTTAACTGGTTTCACACTTCTACAGCTCCAAAATACAGATCTTGGTCGTGTCCAAGGTGCATATCTATAAATTTGGAGGCTTGATGGCTTTGCACACCTCAAATGGGCCCAAACTCAAGTTATAGTTGTGACATCCCCATTTTCACGGCCAGAAAAGACCGATTTTGTTTACGCTTTATAAAAATCAGAGTACCTCTTGTAATAAAAATGTTGCGGAATTTGTTCCCAGTAAAACATGATAAATACGTTATCAAAACATTTCCGAAGAAAAATATTTTTAATTCGTTTTAAAACATTTGGTATGTCATCGTCAATACAGAAACATTTGCATAAATAGAACTTACATTCATTATCACTAGTGATCTATATCTCCTTAATCTCTCAGTGTAAGGTAACTTCACATCGTCACCTGTGATATAAATAAACTGAGTGGGTCAGGTTGGCAAAACTGGTGAGTACATAGGGTTTTCAACACACAATAATATAACTATTATCTTTAAACAACTAAGCAATCAACCCAATTACCCATCCCCATTATTTTCTTTATTCTTAAGGATCTACCCTAAGAATCAGCTATTCGTCGTTCATTTATTCCTAAGGATGGAGAAAGTTAAAGTAGAAATAGGTAATGATAGTGAAGAAACTGATGATTATACAGTTGGTTCTTTTGGAATTTTACCTACGAAGGTTATCACTGTCAAATCAATATTAGAGCAGACAAATAATCATGGTATCACTGCAAATGTATCTAATGCGCAGGCAAACATCGATTCCCGTGAACAAATCATTAAATCACTCCCTAAGCAGACGACTGTCATACCACCCAAAGTTACGTATTCCAAGTCCAATATAAAAGGCGATGAAACTTCAAACATCAATGTGAACTTATTTGATAAGCACACAAATGTTACTATGGGTGATGAGGGTTCAAAAACTGCAATGTATACTTCTACTGGTCTACCACCAGCACCTACTTCACCACCACAAATATCTACCATTCTACCAACAACTACTGCAACTGTTTCTCCTACTTTTGAGAAAGTGATGCAAGTTCCCATTACAACCTTATTCTCATCTCAATCTATAGATACTGATAAGATTATTCATGAAGAAGAAGCAAATGATGATGATCTGATGGTTAGTTTTGCAGATTTGGAATTCAATCCTAATGAAGATGATGTCCCAAATGAAGCAATTATGTTTGGTAAATAGTTCAAAATCTTTGACTGCAAGTTGAATTTGATTTTGAAAATTTGAAGTAATAACATTGGCAAGTCAAGTGTTAGTAGTTCAGAAGTCGAATTTTTTTCTTAAATCTCAAGAACTAAAAACAAAAGTATTGATAGCTTATCTTGATACGAAACTTGAAGCAAAGCATGGACATTTGGATAAAATTGTGAATTCTTCAAAACAATCCATCGAATTCAAGCTTACTGAGCTTAGAAATAAGTTAGATCAAGAATCTGCATGATTGGATAAATATTTGGGTAGGTGAACGGAAGTGTTGAAGTGTTGATTAGGGATATTCATACCATCATTAAAGATTTTTGTTCCTTTAATAAAGATTATGACTAAGGTTTATCAGAGAAGAAGTAAGAAGACATTGAAATCTTTGTAAAGATTGAAAATTCGCTCACTTGACTTCATGAGCAACTATCGAAATTTCTTGTGCCTACATCAAATTTGATTTCTCGAGAATCTATCTCTGCAATGGTTTCATTAGTTGAATCAAGTTTCAAGACCGGGTGGGCTCCTATACTTGACTTGTTTCTTCGCCTACCAAATAATGATTCATATCTTGTACGTGTCTTGTAGGGGGAAGGGGGTTGGTTCATCCAGGGATCAGGCGAAGATAAAGGTGTAGTTATGGGAAGTGTTTTGTCCACACAAATTTCTACATCGATTCCGATGAAACTAATAGTGTCAAAAACAACAAAAACAGCAACAACAACGAATGCTCCTCAAATCAATGTGGACTTATCAAAATTAAAAAAAGAAAGGAAATTTGATTAATGAAGGAAGTGGAAGTTTGATTTCTGCAAATGTCAAGACAACTCCAACTATTAATCCCAAAGATAAACGAAAAAGTATTCATGTTGAACCTTACACTAAAGAAAAGAAAATATTGCAAGAATTAAAATCGAAAGACGGGAGCAAGTGAACAACATTCTGAATCAAAGGGTGAATGATCCTCTAGGCTTAAACAAAGGCGATCCTAACAAGACTTGGTGTTATGAAACTATCGAAATAGTTTTGCTTGACAAAGTGGAAGAATTTATGAAGAAACCCAAGAGAAGCTATGACACTGAAAACTCCAACTTCAATTAGCTTGATTTTCCTATAAATCAACTGATGTTTACTTTCAGTTAATTTAAGCTTGCTGAAAGTTTCAACGAAAAAGATGAATTCAAAAAGTTGAAGATTTTCTTTCATGTAGTTATAGGGAAAAGCGAATAGGAGGTTTCGTCATTGGTAAAGATAGTTAGGGTTATTTCGAAAGTAGCTGATGTTTTGTTGGAGGGGTTGATGTAAACATTTTGATATTCTATAGTGAGAGAAGAAAATGTGGCTTTCGAGTTCACTATCGCATATTTTTCGTTGATGAATCTTAATGATCTCATCACAGTGTCGAAGATCTTGTGTAATTTGGATACTTCACAAGTGGTTGAGGGGAATCGAAATGCATTTGTTATTAGATATGTGCACATCAAGGCCTTCATTGATTGCTACTATGATTATTTGGCTATAACATATATAGATCTTTCCATGGTAATCAATAGAACTTCAAAGGCGCCAAAATCGTTGTTAAAAGTGAAGCTTAATATCAAGAAGTTTGAAGACGGGAAAATTATACATAAAACTTTTGGTGTTGTTTTCCAAGGAAAGAATAGAAGATGAAATTTAACAAATTTTCTCTTTCGAACGGATGATATTAAGAGATACATGATCTTTTATTTTTTGAAAATTTTACTTCGCATCAATAACTACAAGAAGAACGATAATGAAGATAAGGCGGAGGTTCGAAAAATAATTCTTTGGTATATGGAGATCAAAAAGTAGTTGCTACAGACAATGAATATACTATCTAAAGAATTCGATTGTTCTCAAAATGGGGGAGAATGTAGAGCCGAAAGTTGTAGTGAGAGTCGAATGTAGTGTCTTAATGTTTGTGTTTGTAAATAGTGAAAGTTTAAGGACTTTCTTTATATTTATCTATTTACAAGACATATTAGAGTTTTGCATGTAATGTCTACCCCTTGCATTTTTTTGGTCTTTGAGTACCCTATAAATAGGGTAAGTACTTAGAATTAGAGTAAGGAACTTTCACATATATTTTCTTGTACTCGAAATATATTTGTATCATTCCAGACAACTGATTGAGCTAAAAACAGATCCTATTTAGATCTTTGTGTTCTTATTCCCTTTCTTTACATCGATTGATTCAAACACAATTTTTTTCACTCTTCGGTGAATAAGAAGTATATTACGAAGTATCAATATGCAATATGCAAGATATGAGCTAAGTAAGGGTTGTTGATTTGATTGTAGGTGTATTAAGATATGGAAACCAATCTTATCCACTCTTATGGTTTTACTCTATGTTAGTTTGTTCCGGTGAGGTTCCTCACTATACCTTGTACTACAATATAGATCCTCTGTAGGTTAAGATGTTGATATGTTGTAGTGAATTATTAGGCAGGTAGATTTTCTAATAATTATTTGTGCTTGCTTGGTTGGTATTTGGTTGTTTATATGCATATGTCGACATATTATGGGTGGGTTGAGGGCGGACCAGCTTTATGTGGAAGGCCAAAGGAGCATACCAGTCTTGTGTTGTAGTCCATGGTGTTTATGCATTTTATGTGTATTGTTGTGTGGGGTATTTTGGAAAACTCATTAAGCTTTAGCTTGCAGTAGTGTATTAAAATCTCCAGGTATTCCTGAGGATTAGAGAAAAACAAAGGTGAGACTATACACAGTCAAAAATAGCTTTTAATATTTTGAAATTTGTTTTGATGTAATACTTTGATTTCTGGAATTATGCTGAGGAATAGATGTTTTGAGAAATTATCATACCTTGAACGACCAAGTAATGAATGACACAGTGGTTGGTAGAAGGGCCACCGGAGACGACGGGTGATGGAATAGGCTAACGAAATCTGATGACCAACATCAGAGGAGGGAAGTCATGAACACCTTGGAAACTAATGTTCAAAGAAAAACACACACTTTTCTTTTCCTTTTTCATTCCCGATACATCCTTTAAAGAAAGACATGGGTTACAATGGTCTGTGTAAGTGTAGCTATGACGGGTGACGTAGCAGGTGTGGTGGTGTTCTTCTCCACCGATGATGTCCAAATTTAGGGTTAGAGAATGAGGGATTCTTAGTACATAAGAACACGTGTTTAGAAGTATGGTCAGTGATTAATTGGAAGAGGGAGACAGTGAAGTGTGCTAATACTTTTAGTCGAGGTGCAACACTTTTAGCCGGCTTATGAATGTTATTGTTCAAAAGCCTCACAGCTATTAATATTATATGTAACTGAAATAAAAGGATAAAACACATTTGCGATGCAAATCATATATCTTATCATGTTATATTAATCTTGTTTAATGTGTGGGTTTCCCCTAACTATATCAATTATAATAGAGAAAATTATTAGTATCAAGTTTATTTGAAACTCTCATTACAACTCAAGAGTTTTTTTTTTTTTTACTTATGATTTCATATTTTTTAATTATATGTTACTATAACCCAAGAGTTTTTTTATTTAACTTACGTTTATTAATTTTAATGGTTTTTTATTTTCGTATCATTTATACATAGTATCTATATTAGTAGTATATAATTAAATTTTGCTCAGAAAAAAATCACGTGTTCAAAATAATTTGTGATTTAATATTAAGAATTGAAATAATGAGTTTTAAAGCATCAATTGTTATTGCAACACAAATCATTTTTTGGATAATATTGTTTCCATATATCAAATGTATGTTGATTTTCTTTTTGTATGATGTTTAAGTGTTTAGTAGATGTTGTAGTATCTTTTATATTATTAGAAGTTGTAATAGTTTTTAATACCATTTGTTATTCATTATATACAGAGATAAGCATACATTTGATATACAACTTAATTCAACTTAAAATGGTCTATAAAATCGTCATATTAAAGTTTTTCATATTAATTGTTATACATTTTATACGTGTGATATACAATTTACATAACTTAAACAATTCATAAAATCAAATAGTAGTCATAACTAATGATTTAAAACTATAACACTTAATATATTTAATAAAGTAATTATAAATTTGTTTGCTGATTTTTTATATATAAATATTAAGCCATAATGTAAAACTTTTTAATTATATAATTATATTTTCATGCATATTAAACTCTCTTATAAGATAATATTAAATAATGAGTTTGTTCTAACCATTGATCATTATCAATTAATGCTTCTTTCTATCAAAGATAGGATAACGATTTGATATCGACATCCACGAGAATGTCCTTTATATCTTTAGTATTCAATATTTATAATTTATATTTTGATAAATTTGGACCCTTAAATTGTTGGCTTTTTTAGCTTTTGGCATCTTCATTCACATGATTCTCATCATCTATCATCATTTTAAAGTTAGACCCAATCCATCTTTTGGTTTGTTGTTGGCCGTATTTCCTTTATTTACATGTATCCATAATTTAGTTTAAACTAACTTTTGTAATTACTGGAATACAAAACAAATATTAACAAATAAATGGAAAAAAAAAAAAAAAAATCATTGCAGTCGTAATGTTACTAAAAGTTAACAACAAAAGATGGCAAAAATGTTATTTTTAATCATATAAATCGTAATTTAATTTGAAAAATGTTTTTTAGTTAAACCTTATTTTCTTTATTTTTCATGCTTTTCTATATGATTCTAGATCTCTATTATGTCTTGTAAAACTTAAAATTTTGAGTTACAAGTTTTCAATGTCAAAGATTTTATAATGGACTTTGACACAGCCAAATACAATCAAACTAACTAGTTGTCGAGTGCCACGATTTGTGACAAAACACTATAAAAGAGTGTATCATGTTCAATTTTTTGTCTTTTTTGTGATAACTTGTCGGGTCAATCTGCTTGCTTTTTTACTAACCAATCGACATGTAGCTAAGTTTAGGTTAAAACTTTCTTTGAAAAAAAATATATTATGTGCTT